TATCTTCTGAGGCCTGGGAGCAAATGGCTTCACCATTTTCCTTATGACACTTTGCCCTCTCAAAAGGATTTTGTGAGTCCAGAGACACAGTGCAGAGGCCAGGTTTGGATGGGAAGCCCCAGTGGGAGGGGCCTGGTGTAGAGTTCAGGAATGGATAGCGTCAGTTGCAGGGTATCACCTCGGGAAAGGAGGATTTGCGGGAAGCCTAGAGGACATGATGTGAAGGAAGGAGAAATGCTAAATCTTAAGAGCATCCCCAGGTGAGAGTTGATGTATCATGCACAGCTTAAAGCAGGAAATCTATATAAAGGCAGAAATACCTATTTATTCATTAGGCAACAGGTCTTAGGGTGTCAACTATGTGAGAAGCACAGCACGAGGCGCTATGGGAACAGTGGTGAGCCAAATGAATAAATCAACAAAAACATGGTCCCCTGAACCAATGAAGCTTACAGTGCAGTGCAAGATTCTTTGAGATAGTGACATTTAATTTGAGGTCAAAAAGGTGAGTAGGCATTTAAAACACAAATATGCGAATAATATTCCAGAGAGAGAAAGAGAATAGCATGTATCGGGGCTCTAAGGAGTTAAATGTTAGACATGCTGGAAGAAAAGGAGAGGAGTTAGTATGGGTGGATGGTGTTGTATCAGGCATATATCTTTTACATTATGTTTATCCTCTATATATTCCCTGTATTCTTTTGTTCCCTAAGATTAATATTTTTGCAACTATAATTGATATAAAATAAAACACTTAAAATTTGTCATTTGGTGCATTTTGCATAAATATTCATGCATGAAAACATCATCATATTTGAGACAATGAACATATCTATAATTCTTCAAAGTCTCCTCATGTCACTTCATAGTCTCTTTCCTCCACCCCTCCCTGCTCCTGACCCCAGGTATCCACTTATATGTTTTCTGTTACTATGGATTGGTTTCCATTGTCCAGAATTTTGTTTAACTGGAATAATACAACATGTACCTTTTTTTTTTTGTCTGACTTATTGCATTCAGCATAATTATTCTGAGATTCATGTGTATTGTTGCTTATATCAATAGTTCATCCCTTTTTACTGCTGAGTAATATTCCATTGTATGAATGTACCACAATCTGTTTATCCACTCATCTGTTAATGGGCATTTGGATTTTTTCCATTTTTTTTTGCTATTACAAGTAAAGATGCTATGAACATTTATGTACATAATGAACATATACTTTCATTAGTCTTGGGTAGATACCTAGGAATGGAATGGCTGCATCATAAGGCAGGTGTCTGTTTAACTTTCAATGAAATTATTTTTTAAGTGGTTATACCATCTTACATTTCTACTAGAAGTACATGAGAGTCCAAATTGCTGCACACTCTTGATTTTATGGTCAGCTTTTCATTTTAGCCATTCTAGTGGGGATGCCATATATCTCATTACAGTTTAATTATCAATTTCATAATGACTAATGATGTTGAGATCTTTTTATGTACTTATTAGCCACCTATGTATCTTTGGGGAAGTGTTCATTCAAATCTTTTGCCCATTTTTAAGTCAGATTGTTTGTCGTCTTATTATTGAGCAGTAAGAGATCGTCAGATATTATAGTTACAACTCCATTGTTGAATATATATTTTGCAGATTTTTTTTCCCAGAGAGTGCCTTGCCTTTTCATTTTCTTAAAGGTGCCTTTTTAAGAGCGAACATTGTTAATTTGGATAAAGTACATTTCACTGATTTTAAAAATTTTATAGTTTGTATCTTTTGTGTTGTAGTTAAGGAATATTTGACAAACTCATGATTACTAAGATTTTCTTCTAAAAATTTCAAAGTATGAAGTTTTACATTAAGTTCTATTATTCTTTATGAGTTTATATAGGTATAAAGTTAGGGTCGAGGTTCATTTTTATGGATATGGCTATATTATTGTTACAGCGTCATTTTTGGAAAAGATCCTTTCCCCATTGAATTGCTTTGTCCTCTTTGTCAAAAATCAATGAGCCACATATATTTGCATATATTTCTGGACTTTCTTGGTTGTTCCATTGATTTATCTGTCTATAAATAGGCCAATACCATATTGCCTTGATTACCATAGCTTTATAGTAAGTCTTGGAATAAAATATTTTGAGTCCTTCAACTTTGTCTTTTGGCTACTCTAGATCTTTGTATTTCCATATAACATTTAGAATCAGCTTGTTAATTTCTACAATAACAACAACAACAAAATGCCTCCTGAGATTTTTAACAGAATTGCACTCAATCTATCTATCTATCAACTTGAGAAGAATCAACATCTTAGTAATATGGAGCCTTTTCATCCATAAACATGATGTATCTCTCCATTTATTTAGTTCTTCTTTAAATTCTCTCAGTAATGTTTGGTAATTTTCACTGTACAGGCCTTGTGTATTTTTTGTCAAATTTATCTCTATGTCCTTTATATATTTTAGTGCTATTGTAATTGATACTTTTATTTCAGTTTATGACTATTTGTTGCTATTAAATAGACATACATTTAATTTTTGTATCATGAATCTTGCAACCTTACATCCTGCAAACTTGCTAAGCTTGCTTATTAATTATACTAGCTCTTTGTAGAGTCCATCAGCTTTTCTGCATAGATGATCATGTTGTCTGAGAACAAAGATAATTTTTCTTCTACTTTCCCAAACTGAGTAGCTTTAATTTTTATTTTTGCCTTATTCCATTGACTAAACCTCCAGTACAATATTGAATAGAAGTTGTGAAAGTGGATATTCTTCCTTTATTCCTGATCTTAGGGGAAAAATATCTAGTCTTTTACGATTAGGTATAAATTTTTTATAGATACTTTTTATCAGAATGAGGAAGTGCCCTTCTATTCCTAGTTTTTGAGAGTTTTAATCAGGAGTGAATGTTAGATTTTGTTAAGTAATTTTTCCTCTCTAATCTAATAATTAAATCATTTTTCTAGACTTAAAAGTAAAAGTTAAAATTGTGAATCACATTGAGTAGTTTTAAATATTAAATTGTTTAATTTATTAAATATTTATTTAAATATTAAATTATTTAATATTAAAATATTTTATGAACCTTGCATTCATTCTATAAACTCCACTTGGTTAGGATGTATTACTTTTAACATCTTTTTGGATTTGATTTCCTAAAATTTTGATAAGCATTTTTGCTTCTATATCAATGAGGGATATATGTCTGTAATTTTCTTTTTATGTCTTTGTCTGGTTTTTGTATAAAGGTAATGTTGGCATCACAGAGTGAATTGGAATGTTTTTCCTTCCCTTCAATTTTCAGTGACCCTGAGATGATAGAAGACAATGGAATCCAAAGGAATTAGTGTTTAATAAAAATATAGCACTTTCTGTAATTGAATCATTCTCTAACTTTAGTGTGGATGAGAATTACCTGAAAAATTTCTTAAAAGAAATTTAAAAATAAAGATTTTGACTTAAAAGATCCAAAATGGATACAATAGTTGGCATTAATGAAGAAAAACAAATCTCCCCCAGGTAATTCTTATATAGTTGATCCGTGTTCTGAGGATTCCTAGGCTATTCAATGGTTCTCAAAGTATGTTTCATAGACCAATAGCATCAGAATCACCTGGTAACTTTAAAAAAATGCAAATTTTCTGTCCCCACTTCATACCTGCTAAATCAATAACTCAGGATGAGAAAGCAGGTGGCAATCTGTCCTTCAATAGCCCTCAAGGTGACTCCGATGCACAGTAAGTTTGAGAACTACTGCACTATGTTAATAAGAGAGAAACAAAAAGGAATAGTACTTGGTATATTTTAGCTTTGTATATTTTGTGTTATAAATAGAGATGATTTCTTCTATACTGACTTCCTTTTCTTTTATAACATCTATGGAAGATCTGAGAGTTAAGGAGGGGTGGGTAAATCAGATGGTTGAGTGGTGTGGAGAAGGTATGGATAATCACTAAGAAAATGGGGAAACAGGCTGATTCGATTGTTAGTCACTGTTGCATGTCTACTTAAGCAATGTGATTCTCAACTTTTATTGATGTCCATCTTCCCACTTGTGCAATCTTCTTTCCCAGTTCTGAGCTGCTCAAAGTAGAGGTGTGGAGAAAGCAGTTTCTCAAATTTGTACACAGTTATTTTGCCAAACGGGTAAAAGGGAAGGAGAAAGGGATACAGTAGTTGAGGGTATTTGCAAGAGGGTGAAGGATTGTACTCAGGGACCATAGTGTCTGTGCTGTGTAAAGAAAGAAACGAAGATAAGAGGAGGATAATTAACAGAAAGAAAGTTCTGAGATCTCTGGATAAAAAGGTCTTGATGAGATGGAAGGACTGTTTCAGTAGACATATTTCAGAAGATGAGCTGAGAGTGTAAATGATAATGGCTGAAAAGGGAAATGCTTGTTTTTGAATTCTTGTGTTTTTTTTGTGATAAGAAGCTATAAGATACAACCTTGGTAACAGAGGTTGAAATTACTGGGCGAGATCTTTGGCATTGAGGAAGTCACAGTACAGGTGAATTGAAGTTCTCTTTCATTAGAGATGTCAATCATAGTAGCAGGTGGATGAATGGGGGACCAACAGCCAAGGGCCAAATCAGAAAATACAGTGGTATCAATATCATATAAAGTAAATTGGAAGTCATCACTGGCACAGGAAATTTATGATGGAAACATATTTCTTTCTCTAGCAGATTATTTTGGGCCTCATCATAATTTCAAACATGTATGTCCCCAGTATGTCCTAAAATCATGGAATATCTTTTGGTAATAAGATTAATAATTATAATATCTGTGCATGAGTTCTGATTTAGCCATGCAGATACAAAAAATAACAACAAGCTATCCTATAGACCATCGCAAAGAAATTGAATCATAATAACTTCTTCATATTTTCCTATTCATGACCAGAACATAAAAGTTTGCTTTGAAAGGTTGCTACTAGCTCAGAAATACAAGGATGGAGATTGTCTCTGCTGTGCCCTGCTAACATCCATTCTAATTCTGTTTTTCAAATTCACAGAGAGTGAAGAGGTTTATCAAAGGCAGGTGCTGTCAATTTCATGTATCATCTTTGGAATTGTCATCGTGGGCATGTTCTGTGCAGCGTTCTACTTCAAAAGCAAGTAAGACCATTTCTGTCAGGTTTAAAGGGTTACTTCTGGGAGGAAGCACTTTTTCTTTCAATTCTCCGTCTCTGCTCCAGGCAGAGGGATCTTGTGCAAATGGGTCCATCAAACACGTACAAATGACAGAATCTTTTGTAGACTGTAGTGAGCGTGTACAGCGTGTGCATGCAGTGTGTGTGTGTGTGTGTGTGTGGTTTATCTTTGATGCACATAGTGATTATTCCCCTCTGTGATCGTGAACATTCCACGTCCTTTGCACTAGTTGATTACCTGCCAGAATTAAAGGCTCAGTGTCTGCCTGTCACTAAGAGGTTAACTCTTCTGAACAGAGAGGTCGCTGCTGTGACCTAAACATTATCAACCAGTAGACAGCCTTTTCTGGAAAAGAAAAAAAAAAACACTTTTCCTTTCATAGTGTTTTACGTGATACTCAAAAAGGTTTTAGCCAAATATGAAATATGAATAGTATAAAATCTACTTTGGTTCACCAGTTGGTATGCGTATTTTGAATATGCCCCATACTTCCCTTGCCAAGAAATCAGACTTTCTGCAGATAACAGTGCTTATTTTTGACTAACAAAGTAGAATAAAAAATATACATATATATATGTATATAAGCATGTATATGTGTATACATATACATTTATTACAAATGAACTTTGATAGCAGTATTTTATTTATGGAAATGACATAATCTGCACTTAAAATAAGAAATGCAGATAAAAATATTAAATTTGTTGGTTTCCTGTAAGGCATGAGGCCTTAAGAAGTTGGCAAAGATTCTGTTCCTACATCTTGTTTGAAATCCAAGCCAATGTGTAATTGCTTTTCATGGAACCTATACTTTTTACCCATTTTCTCTTCTAAAAATGGATCAATTTCCAGATATAGTCTGTGATACCTATCTGCATGTTGTGTCTGCTGAACTTTAAAAAGAACAGCAATTATGATTTTAAAAAATAATGGGGAAACAGGTATGAAATCAGAATTAGTAGCTATTATTTTTAATGAACTATTTCAGAATAGGTTCAGATTTTCAGAATTATTATGAATATAGTACAAATAGATCCCATATGCCCCAGACCCAGTTTCCCCTATTATTAACATCTTATATTAATGTTGCTTTTGTCACAATTAGAGGAACGGTATTGATGCAGTATTACTAACTAAAGTTTACACTTTCAGATTTCCTCAGTTTGTACCTAATGTGCTTCTTTTATTCCAGGGCCCCCTCTAGGACACCACATTGCGTTTAATTGTCACGTCTCCTAAGCAACTCATGGCTGTGACAGTCGTTAGTGTTCGTTTTTGAGCACTTACTCTTTGTCAGGGACACGGGGCTTTTCATGAATTATCTGCCAATCCTCACAACAATTGGAACTGTGCATTCTTGCTGCATTTTTCAAATAATATCAAAATTTAATTTTAAAACAATTTTTCCAAGCCTCGCAGTAGGAAATTGCATGTGGGGTCTTTGAACTTCCGCAGCTCTGGTTTAAATCGCATCTCTAACCCACTCCACGCTGTGGGCTCGCATTGTGCTCTGCTAGCTGGCGGAAGCGCGGGGAGGGGGCCAGCAAGGTGGTGCTGCGGCGCGGCCCGCAGCGCTTCACGTTCTCAGAGGAGGCCACACGCGTAGTGGTCAGGACGCTACACGCCGCAGCCGGGCCTCTATTCAGATCTTCACGCTGCCACTTTCTCGTTATGGACTATTAGGCAGACTACGTCCAGTCTCTTAGCCTCAGTTTCCTTTTTGGTAAAATATGGCCCAAAATAATATCTACCTTATAGAATTTGTTGAGGATTAGTGGGATAATGCTGTAAAGAGCACAGCATAGTGTATAAGGGTAAATACTCAGTGAAGGGTGGCTCTTGTTAACACCCACGGTTTTCCACCCTAGAACTTAGAGGCTGGGTGACTACAAAGTGAAGAGCGTGCATGAGCACAAGACGATAATCAGACCCGGCAGGGCGTTAGGGGGTCTCCTCGGAACTACTGTGTACGAGCAAGAAATTGTCTATTTAACAATAAGCAAATTACTGTGAAGTAGTTAAACACTTATTTTTAGAGTATAATTTGTAGTTGTACCACATCTAAACGAAAGAGTGATTATGGCAATCCCAAGAACTGAGGACAGCTGGAGAACGAGGGGACGTCTGTCTTCAGTGCTGTCAATCTTTCGTCTCTCGGCAGCAAGTGGGCTCTGAGAGGAACGTCTCCTCCTCGGGCTCAGCGAGGTGTCGGGGTTTAATGGAAAGACTGTTCAACATCACATTTATCATAGGAGGCTCGAAGACTGAGCCACAGGAGGCGCACGAATCAGAATGCTGTCTTTCTGCCTGCCCAGCTGGGACACGTTTTTATTAAAAAAAAAATAAATAAGACAATGTGAGAATAATAAAGTAATAAAAATTGAAGCCTTTTCCAACCAGAGTTATATTTCCCATGAGTTACCTAGAGTATATTTACTTTTTCTAGTACAATTTCCAGGCATGATCTTCCTTTATTTTTCTTTGCCTGAGAGGAATGCCCACCCCACACCAGGCATCTAATCTATATAGCTGAGAGCAAGGTACACTTTTATAATGCTCTGACACCAATTTCTTTGTGTTTATTCCTGGTATTCTAATTCCCCTCCCAAAACTTTGGAGACAACAGAATAGGCAGACTGTACCTGACCTTTCCCTACGTTCACATATGCTATAAAGTAGTTTATTTGAGTACAATTTTTTTGACTTCATCTTGAAAGTCCCAACTCTTCTAGGACTTTAGGACCTCTCTATGATTGGTTTCCAAATAAATTCACTTGAACCGCCATCCTATATCCTGGGATGTATAATTTCTGGCCAGAAAAATTCAAGAGTTACCCAAAAGCTCAGATTCTCTTGGTCATTTATGTTTTAGTTCCCATAATCCCTCAGATCCTGCCACTCTGGTCCTTTCTCCATTCTCTTGTCACCCTTGGCATGGCATGACCTCACCAGATGGAATGTTACAGCAAATTGTTAACTGATGAAAGTTTGAAGATAAGTGACATGGTGAGGTAGAAGTGAGGAACACCTTCTTGGATTTAGAGGATTTTCTGACCAAGTTAATTGAACTCCAACAACTTTGTGTCTAAAGGACACAAAGAAAGAAATCCTCTTCTCATCACTCCCAATAAGCCCACATATCCCCATAAGTAGTTAATACAACTAGTATTTGAGCCTTTCAAATCTAGCTGATATGGCTCACATGGCAACTATAAATTCTTGAGGGTTTTCTTTTCACTTTCAACTCATACGGGTAAGAAGTGTGAGGCTGGCTGTAGGAGTCCTGAGTAGACTTTGGAAATGCAAGGCAATTCAGTTCTGAAAATGGAGCTGGAATAGGAGAGGAGATGTTCCAGGAGGCAGAAGCTGGGACAAATAATCATCATAATTAGGAAAACACAGGAGGAAAAAGGAGAGAGGGTGCTACTGTAGGTTATCACCTTCTAAAGTAAGAGATTTTGCATCACGAAATACTCTTAAGGACAGGCAGTGGATGTTCTGATATGCTGCTATGATTCTCTTCAGCAGTGAAGATCTTTATCCTCCAGTTGCCAAAGCACAATTCTAAGAGTTGCCTTTCTCAAGCTCGTGCTCTGACCTGAGATAGCCAGCATCCGAAGACAGGTCATTGTGAGGCTCTGAAGGCCTAGACCTTTGCCCCAATTTGGTGCAAGGCCAAGCCAGTCTTCATAGCACCTCATGGGATTTGCTGAAGGTCTTCGCTGAGACTGCATTGCGTGCCAACTTCTCCCTCTGCCCAATCCTACTTCCTTCCCTTCACTTCCATAGGTCTTGATCAAAAGAGCCCTCCCTAATAAAAATCCTGCATGCTATCTCCATCTCAGTGTCTGCTTCCCAGGAACCTAACCAGCAACATTACAAATAATGTCTTGGGATGCTTGATATTCCACAACTTACATCTCATTTCTTTCCGATGAATTGGGCCAGAGGAACTTAAAACTCAGTGGACAATTCACACTTACATTGTTAGACTAGTAGAGTTTCAACGGGCAATGCCCATATCTTGTCTTCCCCAGAGCAACTGCTCTTGAGAGAAAACTAATGGAATGTAATTGCAATCAGATGCTTCTTATTTCCTTTGTTCCCATTTGCTGGGGGAAGGAGGAAAGAGCAAAAATATGGGAGAGGGGAGGGATGATACAGGAGGCAGGTTCAGAAAGGAAAGCCCATTTATCCTGGAATATGTGAGTCAGAACTTGAGTGAGAAGTGAGTAAAGAAAAGAAAATTATAAAAGGATTTAGGAAATGAGTCAGACATTCTTATGAGGAAAATTCCTTTAGAAATTTACATTTCCCAGACACTGAATTATGAAATTACTGAAAAAGGTAGTATTTCTACTATTTAGCGCTTAGGAGAGTAATGGTCCTTACTCTGTGCCAAGACCCCTTTACTGCTGCCTGATGGTTTACTCTGGTGAAACATCCTGATCTCCCATTTGCTTCATCAGTGAATCCCTGATAGGATTTTGTGGCTATAATGTGCTTCTTAAAAAGCTCATATGATAGATTTATTTTTAACAATAGGCTACTGATTAGCTGTGAGGAAGTAGATAGATTATTACAACTGGCTTAAAGGAACTAAGAATACTGGAGATAAAATCCTCCCAAATAATTGAAAAGACAAGAGAAACATTTAAATGAACAGAGCCACATCACACTGGTGTAAATTCAAAGGAGGTAATGATGCTCAGAGCCTCCAAATCCTGTAGCAAATACTGTGACTTGCTTGTGAGCGATGGAACTCGTATATTCTTTTGTTTTATCTTGGAACCAGTGCTGGAATTCCTCTGCAGCATCTGCCCGTACAACTAAGCTTGCTCAGTGTTGAGGGGAGGAGATGAACACTTCACACGTGCTCTCACATTTAGTTTCCTCAGTATCCATGAAAGATAGCTTTTGTAAACTCCATTTACGGATGAGGAAAGTGAGGCTCAGAGAAGTTTAGGAAGTCAATCATTTTGATTTCATAAAGCAAAGCAAAACTTGTGGGTGTTAGAGCTAAGATTCAAATCCTGGTCCCTCCGATAACTAGGCCCGTGCTTCGTAGAGTGTTGCCTGCCCGGAGGAGCTCACTACAGGAGTGCACATACTCCACCAATGGCTCCATTCTTGGCAGGGGACCTTGGGGAAGAGGCGAAAGTTCAGGGCGGATGATTCTGCAAACTTTGTCTCGTGGGTACCGAGTCTTCTGCTGATAGAGAATTGCTGTGAAGCTCTTGGGAGGGAGCAGCTAATAAGGGAGTAATTTGTTACATCCTTCTGGTACAGCCACTGAATGACTCAGACAACAGTCACTCCACATATGTAGGCAGGAGCTCTTTATTTGGAGTCCAAAAACTGAGTCATCTAAGCCTTCCCACTGAGAAGCTGTGGGACCATGGCCAAGTGGCTTGACCCTCCTGAGTAGTAGTTGAGGGTACAGAGTAGAGCAAAGAGTGAGGTGCTCTTTAAGAGGTAACTATTTTTTATTATTTACAATGTAGGAATAAAAATCTCTATATTCAGGGCTGTTGTAACAATAAATAAACTGTTTCTAAACTGTAAAAGAGAAAATATACACGTTATAGCATAAATGCAAGCCATGCAATCAGGCTACACATATTTGAATTGTACAAATACAAATGTTGCGTTATGTGTGGCCGCTAGGCCCCAGCTTTCCACGTTTCCACCGGTCACTTCCTCAGAGCGTTTCCAGTTCCTCGCAGCGGAGCTCTCTGGATTCAGGAACTCTTACATTCACCAGGGCCAGGGCAGCTCATTATGTTTCTCTCTGCCTTTGGAGCACCACAGGGTGTGAATCCTTGGATGGTGATGGGTAATACCAGCTTCTCTCTAAATTAGAAGTATTTCTTGGTGGGTTTGAAAATGAAGGAAGGATTCTCTTTGTTCATGGAGTTTATCTAGCTTTAGCAAGTAACAAATAGAGACATTGGGAATGAGTGATCCAGTAAAAATTTGAATAGAATAAATTTATGTAACTATTTATTTATTGAAATCTGCAGGAAACAAGCTAAACAAATCCAAGAGCAGCTGAAAGACCCACAAAATGGTAAAAACTACAGTCTCAAAGCATCTAGCACAACGGCAAAGTCAGAAAACTTGGTGAAGAATCATGTCCAGCTGCAAAATGTAAGTTACGTTCTACATGTCTCTTCCCGCGGCCACCTCAGCGCCCTCAGTCCAGAGGGGACGGGGAGCCTGCCGTCACACTTGTGTGTTTTTTCCAGTACTGTGTAGATTTTTCCTTAAATCATCCTGCAGTTCCCTGTGTGTGTATGTGCATGTGTACTGGATGAAAGAAAGAAAAATTAAATCTCAGCTTTTGATTATAACCTGTAATATAAATTAATCTCAGGTAGCAAGAAGAACTTCTGTTGTTTGTTCCATAAATGCTTATTGAATCTTTACTTCGTGTCAGCAATTGTGCTGGGCACCAGGAATACAGTGTTCCCTACCATATGGGATCTTAGGGATCATAAGAAATACAAACACCACAACCAGAGGGAGTGCGTGAACTGCAGTGGTTGACACTGCAGCAGAGGCTGGAGAAGAGGACACCAACTAGAGGTGGGTGGGGGCAGACATGGAGGCTGCTTCACAGCAAAGCCAGGCTTGAACTGGGTTTTGAAGAATAAGAATGTGACAGTCAAAGAGCTAAGGACAAGAGACTGGAACAAACAGAAAGAATAAAGCCACGGAACCCTAAGAAGACATGCTATGTTAAGACAACTCCAAGGTGTGGGGTGGGAGAGCAGTCAGAGGGGAGAGGGGTGGGAGCTGAGAATCGTGGTCCCAGAGTCTGTCCCTCATAACACCAGGCCTTTGACAGATACCAGAACTTGAAGTTAAATGCAAACTCTTTGAACCTACATTCTTTCCAAAGTAGTTTTAATCATTTCTGAGATATATCACAAAACACTAAACTAAAGACCAGCAAATATTAAGACATACTGAAATATTCCTCTCAGGGTAGCAATTCTTTGCCCCCCACACAAGACTCTACTTCCAGATTCTGAGGCACAAAACAAAGGAACAAAGGCCACGTTATAAACTGGTATTTGAGCATAATAGGCAATCCCTCAGGGCATGTTCACGCCCCTCCAAATGCATAAATCACTGAGAATTTATACATCATTTGTGATTCTCAGAAATCATTACCCCAAAAATTGCCATTACGCTGTGCATAACAGATGTACTTAGATGTTTAATGTGGAATTCATAAATTAACGTTGCTTCCCAGCAAAATTTTGTTAAACTTTTATTCACGGCTGTGTGTAGGGAATGCTTTTATCTGAAACAGAAAAAAGACTTTTGCTAATGATCCCACCACTTTAAAACAATGGCAGGGATAGAGGGCTTCAATTCCTTAGCAACTAGACCCGTCAAAGACAAAAAAAACTGGCCACTAGTTACAGTGGTAAGGACAGATTTTAGTCAGTATTATACTATTGCATTACAGAAGAGAGTCTCATGTGAAGTGAACTCAACTTCAATTGCACAGAGGGGACTGGGCGTTTTAAAGGGAGAATGAGGGAAGGCGGGGGAAGGGGGGGGCTTGACAGAGTCGGGGAAGTGAAAAATTCCAGAGTAGGTCAGTGTAAATGCGATTTTGGCCAGCTGTGTCTGTTAGCTGGCAATTATTGAATGTAGGATTCTGTGTTTCCACAGGGACTGGGAGACAGAGGTCTCATCCTTTCTAATGATTCCATTTCAAAGAAATGGCTTTCAGGTCCTTGAGAAAGACACTCCTGAGTTGGAGAAGATGCATATATATCTCAAAGGGGCAGAGGAAGGGTTACAACTGTAAACCCTTTTTAGTAAATGCTCTAAGAAAGGGAGGTGGGGGCCTACCTCAGGCATCAGCTAGAACAAACAGCACATTCTTTTGGATGCCTTGACTTTTTTTGTTTTTTTCTCAGGCAGGCACTTTAAGTGGGGTTAAGATCATCCTGGGGGTGCAGCCTTAAGCTGTTAGAAACCATGTCAGAATTTATTCAGGTCTTTTAGTGTAGGGGCAAGTGCTGAGGATCTGCAGTTTTTATAGGCCACAGTTGAGGCCTAGTCAAAAAGAGGGCGAAGAGGAGCCTGTCTAAAGTTTGGTCAAGAAAAGAGTCTTTGTCATTCCCTATGCCATTTACAGGGCTGTAGCCAGAGCACAGATTTGATCCTTCTTCACCTAATGCGTGATCGAGAGCATTTTCTGTCTGCTTTATGATGTCCACAAACTCACTCGGCACATAACACCATGGTCCACAATGTGGCCACCTCTCAGTTTTCTCATCTTACTCCTCCTAGTAGACATTCATGTTCCTTCCTATAGTTTACGATTAAAACAATAACAAAATAAACTGTTCACTCATGTGCTCCCTGTACCCGTCATTTGATTGGAATTATTAGGATTGGAATTACAAGAAACAAATTACTAGCTGTAGGGGTTCCAACACTTGAAAGACCTCTGAGTACCTATGATTTGTTTTTTCTCTCCCTCTTTCTTCCTCTCCAGCCTGCCCCTCCCCAACATTTTGTATGTTGGCTCAGAGCAGCAACGGGTAGGCTCAACGAGATCATTCCCTCAGGGCCCAAGATAGATTGTGGGAAAGCGTCTTCTTATATTCATCCCATTTTTGAATAAAGAGAGTATATATAGGACATTTTGTCTTGAGTGGTGGTGTGGTCAGCTAGGATAACAGATTCCAAGGGATCATCAGTCTAAAGAGCTACACAGAAATTGGGAGTTCAGGCAGAGTAGATATGGGAGGAAGGCATTTAAGGACCCAGAAAAAGGAAAACAAAGTGCACTGAAGAGACACAGGCATGCCAGCCCCAGCGTCTACACAATGCCAGCTTGGGCTCAAGGGACTACCTGAGTAGGGCCCTTTAACAAGACTAGACTGGGATGAACAAGTTGCTTTCCCAAAGGTACATATCAATTGCAATGCTAGAAAGCAATGTGGGTCATTACCAGCTTTGTTAGACCTTTGTCAACATTTCTTTTGCTAATTTAATAGGAGAAAATGGTATTTAAAAAAAAATTTACATTTCACTACTTGAGAGTATAGTATAATCTCTGTTCATATCTTTCTAGTCAAATTTCCACTTTGGTGAATTATGTGCTGATATTTTGCTCATAATTTTATTATAAGAATCCAATAACAATTTGACTGCAATTTTTCATGCCAAATGTTATAGGAAAAAATGGTAATGGAGAATAGATATCAATAATCCATTAAGAGGAACTGAACATTTTAAGAATATTTGCTTTCTTTCAATGCTATGCTGAAGATATGTAAGGAGAACTATATAGGACATCTGTGCAGTTGGAGGCCAGGTAGCACAAGTAGTCTTAGGGAAAGCAGTAATCTGATATGTGGCTAAGAATTTTTACATATATATTAAAATGCAAAAGTACTGAAGAAACTTTGGGAAAGCATTTTGTAGGTCTATATTGTTTTCTTCTGTCAAGAGCTATGATGCAATACCAGTGTCAATAATAGCAAAAAGTGATAAACAAATTAGTGATAAAAGTAATAGCAAGTGAGATGTACTGATACATACATAGAATCAAGCTAAAAAATATAGATACATTGTCTCATTTAGTCCTAACAACGACTATTTAATTTACCCCCAAGACGTGCAGAAGAGGGAAATGGGGCTCAAAGCTTGAGAAAGTTAACCTCTGTCAGACAGCTAATGAGTTGCTCAGAGCCAGCCTCACATCTTTATAACTCAGTGGTTCTCAACAGGGGGCAATGCTTCCCAGGCAACATTTGGCAAACACTTTGGGTGTTACAATTTGGGAGGGAAGTGCTACAGGCGTCTATGAGTGGAGGATAGAGGTGCTGATCAATATCCTACAATGCACAGGATAGACCCCCACAACAGAAAATTGTTCTTCCCAAGTGTCGAGAGTGGTAAGGAAGTCCAGCATCCAAGCTCAAGTGGCATAATGTGCCATTAGGAAATTCTGAACGCCTAGCATAGGAGTTCTATCACCAACCTTCCCCTGCAGACATTTATTTCTACTACATGGAGTTGTGACAGGTTATCCAAGTGCACTACAATCCTTGGAAAGGAACATTTCCTACTCTCTTACCATATATCAGGCAAATCTGTCTTTATTTTATCTTGAAGCCCAAGCAAATTCTTTGCAAATTGCAGTGTTTAACAAATGAATTGTCTGTGTCTGGCATTCCCTCAAATTCATTAAACATTCATGGGGAAGATTTTCGCTTTACAGTTATTTAACAAGATGTGAAACATCTAGTCCAGTGAAGCAACATGATGCTCTGGAAACACTTGACTCTGAGGCTGCAGAATTACACCTGGCAGTGCCTTAGAAACATCTAGCCCTTACCATCATTCACCAGTGAAGCATTTGTGACTCAAAGAGATGAGCTAAACTCATTTACTGTGTCCCGAGTGAAGAGAGAGCTAGGGCTAGAATTATAACCTCCAGATCATCTAGAGAGTGAAATTTCTCAGCTTGTTTCAGAGATCAGAAAGAGAAGTCATCAAAAGAGAGATAAAGCATTCTTCTCTCTTGAAATCAAGAGAAAATATACATAAGTGAAAAGTAAGGGAGCAAAATTATATACCCCTTCCCATCCTTTTTTTTTTAAAAAACTATCTTAGGAAAGATAGGTTTGTGGGGGTAAAATTCAATGAGAAAGAATTGGAAGAATAAAAGAGAATAATAAGAATTTAATGCCTCACACAGATTGGATAATTGGTAGAGAGAGGCATTCATTTATTCAGTAGTGCTTATTGAGTACTTCTCTGTGTTGGGCACTGCATGAAGAGCTTAAAAAATACAAACAGAAGAGATGGATCCTGACCTTGGAGATTTCACAGGCTAGTGGTAGAAACAAATATGTAAGCATATACTTATCTTATAATGTAGATACATTAAGTCAAAGTGCTATCAGAGAATGGAAAAGGACATCTAAAATTGGCTGGGGGAATCAGTGAAGGCTGCCCAGAGGAGGTGACATTTGAACTGAGTCCTGAGAGTGAGTGGAAGTCCATCAGATAGTTTGAAGAGGGTTGATCATAAGAGGTAATTTCTTTGTATGTGAATCAAAGTTAATTTTGAATACTTCCAGTCTAAAACCTGATCTTTTGTTTTAAAT